GTGTGTGTGTGTGTGTGTGTGTGTGTGTGATGATTAAAAAAATTCTAATTATCCTACCAAATACAACTTCACAAAGTTTTGTGTCTGCAAATTTTGTTTTGACTTCTGATCCTCTCCAACTTATTCTTTTAACAAGACTATTTGAGATTAATTTAGACAAAACGTTCCCTGTAACATTGCGTTCTGAGAGAACAGATAATGTACCTGAAGCACTGGTACATTTTGAATGAACAGATCTCGCTGTTAGAACATAAAAAGTAATAGCTAACCTCATATAATATTGAAAAGTTACTAAGCAATCATGATAATCATTAAAGGTGATTAACAATATACATTATATGAGGTTAGCTATATAAAATATCTAATATCTAATTTTTGCTAATTAAAAATATTGATATCACAATTTCGGCTATTTGTTTTATAGCATAATGTTAAATATAGTTTAATTACGTGTCATTATAGTATATTATTATATTGTATTCATAAAGCTTTTAGCTAAAAGTACATTGTATTCATAAAGCTTTTAGCTAAAAGTACATTGTATTCATAAAGCTTTTAGTTAAAAGCATATTTTAGTTGTTTTGTTTAAAATTCAAAATAAGTATAACTTCTACAGAAATATGTATAATTTTCTTATATAGAATTTTGGAAACCAATGCTGAACCTTTTTTTTATAAACAGTATTTTCTCCGAAAGTTCTATTCATCTCGCGAAGTGCATAGTTGCAACTAGTTGCAATAATATTATAATTTGAAATTAAATTCATAAGAAAATTATACAAATTTCAGTTAAAGTCAAATTTCAGTTATACTTATTTTACAAATTTCAGTTATACTTATTTTGAGATTTAAATAAGGCAATAAAATTTGCTCTTTTAAAAAAAACTTCATGAGCACAATGTAAGTAATTTAGATTGTATATAAAATTATGCTATAAAATTAATATGGCTGAAATAATGATATCAATATTTTTAATTGGCGAAAATTTAATATTTTATATGTATTAATCTAATATATATTAAATAAATATTACAAAAGCTACTTACCACAGCACAATTGAGATGATTAGCCATTAAAAATGTTTCCATTTTTTGAAACTCTTCTTTTGTCTTCAGTGGTATATTGGAAGATATCATAGACTTAGCATAATTTGGATTGATAGATCAAATAATGATTGCCTAGTTAATTAGCATTGAATTCAATTTTTGTCTATTTTCAGAAGCACAGTATTATTTAATTTTTATTTCATTGTAACAGTGTGTGTATCCACAATAAGCTGATAAAAGAAAATATATCTTATGAGAATCTATAAAGTATGTCAAATAAGCTGAATTTAAAAAATAAAAATAAGAGATCATTATCTTTAAAGGAATTACAAAGCTTTACTTGTGACTTTGATTCTTTTTCATTTCTTTTATCAAAAACAGAATGAGTTTCATTTTGCTCACTTTCAACATTCATTAATGAATTAAATCTTCCTCCACAATTTGCATAAATGATGGTCTGTACTAATAATGAATTTTGAGACGAACATGACGATTCCTTATCAAAATTTGTTTGCATTGAGGATGGAAATGAAAATGTTTTATTATTTAAGAATGTTGTTACATGATTCTTGCTTGACATTGCTAGAGACATAAACTTCTTTTACTTACTTAACCTTTCTTACTATGATCTGTTATTGGCAGTTTTTTGTATTTCTTGTTGACATTATTTTCAGATTGATTATTGTAAAATTTTTTTAATTTTCTTTTTGCTTATAATCCTGGAATTGTCTCCAAAGTCCTCAAGAACTTTAATTCTGGCATGATTAGATTGCTTTTAGGAGACTTTCTCTCTCTCTTTATTTTGTATATGAGGCACTTAAATATTTTTTTTACTGCGTTCAAAATATTTAAGATATCTAATATCTTTATCCGAGGCAAATTTGTGCTCACTTTCTCATCATCACTTTCACTAAGTTTCCTAACTTGACATTTTCGAGGACCTTTTTTCTTTCGTGGCTCTCTGTTCTCTTCATCTTCAAATTCTTCATCATCTTCAGAATCCAAGAAGCGTTTTGATGGCTTTCTCTTTCGTGGAGTATCATCTATCTCTGTTTCAAATGTATCATCCTCAGCTTTCTTCAAACCTCTAATTGCATCATCATAGTTACCTGTAATAACAAATATAACAGCAACAGTTCTAATAGACTTTCAATAACATAATCTTGTTTAAAAACAATTTTGTTGTAAAAATGTTCAAAAATTGTTAGAATATACAGTATTAATTTAAGCTTCATCAATCATCATAAGAAAGAGACAGATATAAATCTGAACGTTCCATATTTACTGCATGAAATTTTACTTTATAAAAAATAAATAGAAAAAAATTGACATGTTATTTAATAAACTTACGGTATAAATGACTGATTCTTTAAGAAGAGGCCAATGAACATTAGATTCAATACAATTTTGTATAGCTCTTTTTAAGTGTACAAATCTTGATCCTTTTTTTGGCCAGCTTTTGGAAGCCAAAATATATTTATAATTTTGTTGTCGTCAGATTTGTTGTCATCAATCCATTTTACAGGAATCACTGCAATTGTTTCTCCTTCTTCCTGTTTCTCTTCCGTGAAAGCCACCACAGTGTACTAGAAAAAACAATAAAATAATACAATTACAAATTAGGGTAAATGAGAAAGGCGCGATAAATAATGCGCAGTCAATACAATATTTTCATTTCATTTTAAAAAACTTATCCATTATATAAAATATAAAATAAATAAATACTAATTCACAAATGTATATACAAGGTGTCTCTAAAGTCTCACTCTCAACCTCTGGATTTCGGAAACGGCTTTAGATATGGAAAAAGATTTTAGACAAAGGTTCTAAGCAAAAAATGTCACATGATTACAACATTAGTTCATTTGCAGCCAATAATGAGATTTTTTATAGACACCATTTTTTTAAATGAAATTATGTATATTTTGTTACATATTGTGATTTCCAAGATCAAACTGTTTCATCCAATTGTGAAACAAAAATGATACCCAATTAAGGATAAATCCATTGGATATTGATAATAATTATCCTGTGCCTGAAATTGCTGTCCACGTAAGATTATTGCTTTCAGAATAAACAATATTTAACAACATTACGCAACAAAATCACAGATCCGTCTTCAGTTTTAAAGCAGTGATCAGGAGCAGCATACCTTAATGTAAAATTATTATTTATAAGCATTTTATAGTGCTCTTCTCGAACAATTTCATTAGGATCAATATAATTTCCTGTCAGCTGTATATCCTCAATAACTTTCTTCGGCTTTGACAAGCGTTCATTAGTTTCAGCATCTCTTTTTGCTAATTGTTGCAAAGAATGATATTCTGATCATAAAGATTGCTTGATTCTTTTCAAATAATTTTCATATAGAAAAGCATTAAATGAGTTCAAGCACCTATGCTCATCGCATTCATCAACTAGATGAGTAAGACCATGCACATTGAACACAACAAAATCACGGCCAAAGATCTGACTACTATATTGTACAAATAAATTCAAAAGTTTTCTAATAGCATTTCTCATTGCAATATTCTGCACAAGTGAAGAAGCTAAAATATAAATGTAATGAAAGAGTAAGAAGGTGTGATATATTTGATTATGAATATGATCCTTCATTATTTTAATCCCATCATAGAGTAGAAATCTTCTAAGCTCTGTGGTTTTAAGATGAGTAACTTTTTTAAATCGATAGGACTTTCAGGGAAATTCTCTAGGGATAAATTGCCCAATCCATACTGAAGCATTTTTAAATGCTTCTATGTTTTCATCTCCAATAATTCTTATCTCCAATAATCGCATCAAAAATCTTTTCATCACATCAATACAAGATGAAGATATTCAAGTCTAAATTGGGATACTATTCCAATATTGAGTTGTTCTTCTAATGGTGATAATCCTATGTGATGCTCTGGATTTCTTCTATCAATAAATGATTGGTCTGTA